GTTTTTCATTGTTTTTGTCATTAAAAAGAACAGTTTATGTCATTTGACGCACTAGTTTCAACTTATGAAGCAAAGAAAAGCTGAGAAAAACTTCATCATTTCTTAAAATGTTATTCCGTTACGACGGGTTTTTCGATCTGCAAAGGCGAGATCTGAGCTAGGATGAGATTAGAATTCCAATATGAACTAGCAAATTGAACTATATGAGAGAGAAAAATAAGAACAATTAATTTAAATGAGGTATGTATCCGATCGAACGTGATCGAATAGTCAGTTGCTCTCCCTAGATCCATGAACCCTGATGTTTGCCAAGGCATGGTCGCCCAATAAGTTGAGGATGCTGATGATATACTCAGATTTGAGCACCACACCATGGACAAGTATAATAGATTTTGGCGGAGTCAGCCATTGTTGGAATACAGCCTAAACAATTTTCTCTAAACTTTAATGGAAGTGATGAAATGCATGAATAGTTTTTAGTGTTTGATTTATCATACTGTTATTGCATTCTTCAACTTCATCATATGAATTAAATAGGGTTTATTAGTTTTGTACATACAGCCAGCAAATTATTGATATTTTTCATGGAATATGATGAAGTTGAAGGATGCAATGTAATAACCGTATGATAAATTAAACTCTAGAAATTCATGCATTTCATCACTTCCACTAAGGTTTAGAGAAAATTGTTTAGACTATATTCCAACAATGGCTAACTCCGTCAAAATCTGTTATACTTGTCCACGGTGTAGTCTGAATTTATATAAAGTCGTGTTTTCATATTTCTAACCCAACGGTAACATGGACAAAAGTGAAAACGTTACAATACATACAAGTTTCTACATTCTATTGAGGTAACAAACTCTGAAAAAAAATATATTGGTTGAAGCCACTCAAAACTATACAGTATATAGAGTTTAATGTTCTATACAAACAAGATTTAGGTAGATTCGCCTCTGTCTCGCTGAAAGTTAGATCTGTTGATCTTCACAGTGCTCACAAAGACCTTAGTACAGTGTAGACCAGTAAACCTGTCAGTTTGACAACGATTGTGAGAGAGAATTTCAGTTTTCAGTTTCAGAATCGAATTTAGTTGACAGAACTACTATGCATTTCAAACAAAAATACTCAGTTGTCTTTGGAATAACGCATGATGGAGAACTTTATAGTAAGAACTTATGTCTATCTACCTGCTATGTAGACTCGATCTGTTTGTATCAAATCCAGAAAAAAGGTATTAGTGTTCAAAAGAAGTTGCTGTGCTTCAAAGCTGCTATTGCGCATTACCAATGTTCGCGCGAGTGTAAGCTTACTTGCATTCCAATTATCCTTCATCTTCTGCTTAAAAATATTGTTAGTGGCAGTGGAGAATATTTTATCTGAAGGAAACGCGAATCCTTGATTAGTGAAACACAGTACTTGCGCTCAATTAGATTACTATTACAGGCATGTATCAACATATTCGTCGTGTTGTGTTCTTCATACATGTATTTGAATAGATTTGTACCTTAATAAGACGTATCACATCACTTTCTCAATAGAAACGTTTGATTATCGGTTTTACTTTCACCATCATTTTAAAATTGTTGGCGAGTTAAATTTGTTTATATTATTCTCATCAGTGAGTCAACGAATGTTTCTGACATTGAATGAGCAATGGTAAAATTTTGCTTCGCTATATTATTGAATATTGATGTTAAAGGTAACGGGTGTGCATTTGAATCATATTTCGAATCGTCAAATGATTTTTCGTTTGATAACGTTGTGTTACCAGCACTTCGGTGTGATTTATGTACTGTTAACTTAGCTGAATTCGATGATAACTGTTCCATTCGCGGAAAAAGCGGTTTTTCTTTCATTCTTAATCTCTTGTGTTCTTCATCCATTAGTATATTCGTGGAATGAGTCGAATTTTCTGATGAGAAATGGCGAAGAATTTTGTTTTATTTGGGAAAGTACACTGAGAAATTTGTACGATAATCGAAGTACGTAAATACCATGCATAGATCGTCGAAGATCTTTCTGACTTGAATCTCACCTACACATTTTCTATAATAGTCAGACTTAGCTGATATTTGAAGTTCTCTTCTCTTAGTTATAGTCTGTTGTTCAGTGTTATTGATTAGGAGGAGAAGAGAAGCAATAGTTTTCTTATTTGAAAAAAAACAATACTAATAAACTTTTGTGGATATATGTTTTCATGGTAAAATCGTAGAAAATTTTGTAGCTGTTTACCAAAATGACGCAGTTATACTCTTCAAAAATCCTTTGTTTTCTTGGACTTGTATTAAAAACATATTAAATGCAATTAAAAATGCTCACCTGCATCGAAAAAATAATATGGAACTGATTTGCTAAATTGTTTATAATTTAATTTGCTAATTTACTAATTGTTTTTGCGACGTCATTATCCTCATATTACTTTTAACTTGTATTAATTCACTCTCATTTTTTATCCATTTTAAAAACGCTGTATAAGAAAGTAGATTATTTGTCAATGTCGTGGCGATACCGAAGGTGTAGAGGAGTGCAAACCTCGTCTGCTTTTAAGGATTTCTTACTTTCTCCTGCTAATAACCTTTCTTCCAACAAATTTGTGGGAATTCAAAACACATTTTACCTTTCTCCCAAAAGTTTACGCTTCTTCAGCTTTTTTCTCTCGCCACATCACTGTTATTTGCAGATATAAATTATAAAGATAACTGAAAATCATCTCGATATTTAAATGATGCTTTTTGAATATAATTTTTTTAGTATATTTTGTTCTCTAGAAGTACTCAAATTCGCGATTATAGTGTGTATAGACACTGCAAAAGAAACTCTATGCACTAAAATCTCGTGTTTATTTACTTGGCATTCACTTTCAGTATGCTAAGTACATGACAAGTAAATAAACGGAGCATTTTAATGCATAGTTTCTTTTGCACTGTAATTTACACACTATAATTAGCCCTATTCTAATAGGAGATGGACTTCAAGTACGTGGGTGTTTTTATATATTCATTGAAACGTTTATTAAAGTAAGGAAGAAGATAGCCACAAGACATTATGCATAATTGAAAAATAAGTATATTCTCATTCTTTTTACCTGTACAACAGTAACAAATTGGGTATGACACATGAATGAAATCAGTTGTACTCTATTACGGCTGTCGAAAGATGTAAAAAAATGAAGAAATTCAACACCTTCCCGCTCAAACTTTCATCAGAGAATATGTATAAGCATATGTATTCTCTATTATGGTATGTATCCTATTACCGGCTGTCGAAATTGATGTGTTACGTTATATGAACATTCCAGACCCGTTGTTTTATATCCGTAGAAGATCGATCAAAGAACGCCATTTAATCGATTAGATGATTTTTACTGAAAACCGAGTAGTTTTCATCGATTTTCCACCGGGTGGTCATTCTTTTGTGACAGTAAGTACTGGAAGCTACCAAAAAGCTAAGTTGCTCAAGTGCGTACTCAGAAACTATTGAAAATTAGTCTTTTGTCCAATTAAGTCCAGTTACCAAAACTTAGTTTTAGTTATGAAAGACACAGAAATTCTCGTTGTATTTAGTAGTATGTTCTTTCCTATACTCTTATTTGTTTCTGTTTTGTAAAATGCAAAACAACAAAAAAGACATATTCGTTTAATGGAGTGGTAAGTTATTTTGCAGTTTTTCTCAGAACCTTGACGTATAAAAATTATCGTTTTAATATCAAAAGATACAGTTTTTCAAGCTCTGCAGAATATGTTTCTCTTCTATAGGTTGCACCATTTTGATAATGGATGACATTGTTGAGATATCTTCCTTAGACCGAATAGTGTCAACCACAAATAATGAGGCAATTGTTGTAAACCATTTTTACGACCCTAAACGTTTCTCCAAAAATTTGATCTCGTGCCTAAACAATTAAGCATTTATTGTGGTTTTCGTACTGTGTTTGAATGGTGCATACAAAGCTTCTTTAGAAGAAAAAACACATTTCTCGTGCAGTGAAATGGTGCGCACTTGAGATTTTCAGAACTTGCAGTACTTTTACTGTCACAAAAGAACGATGCATGCGTGGTGTTAACACAGGATATGAATGAAATCTAGACAAAATTCTCTATCTTTTCGCATCAGAACGAACTTTCTTTATCAAGCTTACTTCAGAATAAAGTCTTTGAAAGACCGGCAATGTAATCTGAACCACCCATTAAATCGCGATTAATGGGGAAAAAATCCTGCTGAAAAAGCTCAATTGATCGCCTCATCATTCTGCCTAGTGGATAATTTCTTATTGATTTTGACGACATGGGCTGGTAGAAATGAAGTAAGATATTACTTGGCTGTTTGCAAAACTATTCAACGACAACAGCGCTTCAAACTTCGTATACCAAAGATATCTTTCCACATGATTCATTTTTAATGATTGTTTAATAAGAAAGTTTTAATAGTTTCTTAAATTCTTACTATATCTCAAATCAAACCATAAGACTGAAGCGCTATTGTCGCAGCATAACACAGTATCAAAGAGACCACATTTACTTTTTTGATTGGTTCCTTTATTCTGCTTTATTTGCTTCAAACATCATTATTCGAATTTGAATGAGTATCTGAATTTTTTTTGTGACTTTCAAATTATAAATTAAGAGAGACAGTTTTTCTCACCTGAGCGCGGGCACATCCAGTTAGACTGATCTTCTCTATATTATACTACTATCTCTATTCATATCGTACAACAAGTTATCAAACATTTTTGGTTTAAACAAATGTTTAGAACTTCGTTGAACTTATTCGAAAAAAAGAAGATAAAAAAACTTAAGTTCGTTAGTTGAAGTTTTAAAATAAAAACGTTAATTTTCTAGGAATTTGCTTTTCTAATCTCGTTATTCCTTTTCCCTATGGAACTGATATTACCATGTTATTTCTAATGAGTTTATCTTCAAAGTTTAATGATTGCAATACGCATGTATGTCAAATACTTCTGCTGTAAAATGTATTATGCTGCCCTTTTTAGATTAGTAATGAAACGTGGTCGTCTTGTATCACTCTTTATTCTCTTTTTTGCTGCAGCTGCCTTCGTAACTAATTTAATAGCAAACTGTTCCGATCGATGGTGGGTGAATGCTAGAGAAGGTGGTGAAAAAACATTTCGACGTGCCGGACTATGGCAAGTTTGTTTTGATATGTATCGTCATCGTTTCGATTATTATGGCAAAATCTACAACGGTTGTTGGTGGTTGTTTTCACCAGAAATTCGTATGTTACGATCATGGATATCGAATTATTGGTTGCGTTGGGTGAGTGTCGAAACTAGAGTTCTAACCTTACAGTAAGAAATTTAGTGAAAGTTCATTAATTTCTTGTTTGTATCGATATCGCAACAATGCCTAACTTGAAATTGTTTTCAAACTAGAGAAGACCGGTTTATCAATGATCTCTGATTTATTCTAGGTGCAAACACTCAGTACATTATCTTTAATATGTTCATTATTTGCCTTGGGATCATCTATTAATGTCAATCGTCAAGATAATTTTCGATCAGCTCGTCATGTCCTTATTCAATCATCTCTGCATATTGTCGCTGCTCTGCTGATGTTTTGTACGGTGATTTTATTTGGTGTTGATGGTAAGCGACGTGACTGGATGATGAACTGGCAATTTAATTGGTTTGGTTGGAGTTATAAATTGGCAATCGTCTCATGTATACTACAATTTATAGCTGGAATATTTTCAATTTATCAAGGATCAAATAAATATTTATTAGATATGTATGATTTCATTAAAGAGGAACAAAAATTAGAAAAACTATCAACTTTAAAATTTCCACCATTGCCACATACCGGCGTCGTAGAAAGAAATGGAAGTAAGACACAATTACACCAGTATATGTAAGCAACGATGATGATACTTTGTCTTTTTGTGTACATAAATGATACCTATTAAAATCTCTTTGTTTTTGCATCTGATATTTGTTCACATTCCATTCATTTATATCTGATACATTTTTCTAAAGTTTTTTTTATTAATTGTATTATTTAATTTTACTTTTAGAAGTATGATTTTTATAGTATTTTCAACTTTTTTGCATATTGCATTGTATGAAGCTTTTCCGATGTATGTTGAAGTGTTAAACGTTATTTCTTGTCTAAATTCACTGATGACGCTAGTTATTGAACAAATATTAATTACAGAAGAAAAATAGTATTTTCTATCTACTTCTGAGGTCTCAGTCTTTGCATAGAAGAAAAACAAGCAACACTCAACAAGTCTTCTATTATCAGAGTATGTTCTCTTATTATTTCCGTTGTTTGCTTCTGGGAATGTTCTCCTTAGAAATACATTTATATCTCTGTTTGATCAACACCGATTGTTGATCATACGATATATCTTTATTATTTGTTCATTTTATTGTGAAAATTCTTAAATCATTTGTTTTTGCGAAGCTACATTATGTGATGATATTCCGTCGTTTATTGTGACAAATATTCATTTTTTAACTCGAGTAAAATAATGTACTGTAAAAAATTTGTTTTTTATTGTTCACTCTTTGTTCGAAACAACCAGGCACTAGTGTTTTCGATAGTAGTTTTGGTCGGGGGTAGCGAGCCTGCTGAATAACTAAAGTTTTTTTTATTGGGTAACGCATTTTTTGATTAAAAATTTTTTCTGAGTAACTGAGTTACTCAGAAGCTAGAGAAAATCCCTTACTCAGCTGCATAAAGGGCAGTTTTTCAAGTCAACATTTTTTTGAGTAACTGTATCTAAACGAGGGGCTGGTTTGCC